ACTTCGACTTATGACAAAGGCTTGGCTTGGCTATTATAATAAAGGATCGGCTCTGTTTATCATAACAAAGGCCCGGCTTCATTTATTTGCAGCCTCGGCAGGAAAAGGGCATTAGGTATTTTAATCAAAAGTGAACTTTGTCGAAAACGCTCCAAATTTTGCGTGCAGTTTTGTTTAGGTATGTTTAGCAATGTCCTGTAGTTTTTCTGCTAAACTTTGCTTAATTCATTTTCGGGATATTGCGTACGCAAAAAACCACTCGGTTTTCCTAGCGGCGTCTTTATAAAGCGAAGCAAAAACCAGTGGCAAAAATACAGGGACACGTTTTTCTATTACATTGAAGACCACATGCAAAAATTCAGCTAATTTGGAGCAAAAAAAAGAAAAGCAACCAAAATCGTCACTTATCCCCTTTTATGACTAGCTTCTTCAATTGTCAATAAGGGTTGAATAGTTCAGATCAAGGCAGAATGAATTTTATTCAAAAAATTAACGGAAGTGAAAATGCATCCTGTCTACTTGATCTAGTGTTACACTTGGATTACACTTGTTTGGGTTGCTAGTGGATTTCTTTGCACTAAACAAGTGACACGAGGCAGCCCAGGCCAGGATGTTTGATTTATTATGGAATTGTGATAAGCGTGATAAGGTGCAACTTTTTAAAAAGTTTAAAAACATCTGTGGAGAGGGTTCAGAGCCACCATAAATTTGTGGAAGGTTTTTGACTACTGGTGCACAAAATAAAGCCTGTCACTGTTTTCCTGATGCACATGTCACAAAATGGTAGCTCCTTTAAGAATCACCACTGCAATTTTATTTACATGTACTATTGGGTGTAATTGCTTAGTGAACATGGAATCACATCAAGACAGTTCTTTTTTTTTTCTTTTTACATCAAAACACCTTGACATCAAGACAATCATGATAAATGTGTGTTTGAATGTTTTTATCAGTCTCACTTTCTATTTCAGACTCTTACTCATCATCGCCTTTTTCTAAAACAAAACCAAACTATGTTTATTAAATTTTGGGTGGCCGCTTAACAGGGCTAAAGACAGTAGAAAACCCTTATCAGGATGACCAAACTGTGATTGCAGCCACTTAACAGAGGTGGCCAGTTAATAAGGGTTTATTTGCAGTATTTTATTGACAGTCGTTTTGGGACTTTGATAACTGGCTGCTTAATAAGGGGTGGCCGCATCTGGCAATAATTCTGAGATATCCCGGCTGTCCTATTCAAAGCTGTGTAGGTGCTGTGGTCTGTGCTTGCAAGCTTAGAAATAGAAAAATCAACATTGTTTGGGAGGAAGGGGGCATAGGCGTACTGGCACCATCGGACTTGGGGGGCGGTGACCTTATTGCTTGAAAAAAATTACACAATGCCCGAAAGCGTGAGTGTTCAAATGCACTCAAATCACAGTAAAAACAAAAGTGTTCCCAATTCTCATGTCCAATGAAACTGTTATCATTCCAAACATGACCTCGATTGACAGCCTAGTAAAATCAGAAACTTATAAGAGAAACTGCGAATTCTTCCTGGTATGAAAGTTCAAGAAAGGTTGAAAATGGCTCTTTTCAGAGCCACCACAAAAAGTCTTGGTCTTTGTTTGCTTTGATTCTTTTGTCATTGTTTTGTTGATGGAAATAATATCCATCTCAGAGATTTCCACCATACACATTTAAACGATATATGGCTTTTCCAAAACAGAATAACTGGATCCTTTTATCATTCATTTAACCTTAACATTTTGACAAGGCAAACATCAGAGAAAGTAGTCTACAAGCCTGGCCTTGACTATCTTTTAGAATGTTTTCTCACATGTACTTTTGCCTGAATCATCAGCGCTTTGCCTGAAAAATTTCAAAAATTTCTGAAACTGGGGGGGGGGGGGGGGTGCCGCCCCCACAGCCATACATCTGTGGAAGGGGGAAAATGTTTCCAAGATTCTCAAAAAATAGAATTTTACTGCGAAGTGTTTGAGCAGCACTTTTGTCGCTCATAGAAGACTACCAATGACAAGTGAAATTTCTCTGGCTTTGTGTTTTCAAATCCAGACAGATATGTACTTGGAAACAGATTCAAGAATAAATCCAGTAGTAAGATAATTACACTCATCCAAAGCCCAATGATTATTTATGGCCAACATGCAGAAAACACATTTTTAGATGTTTATTTCAGATTTAGAATAAATCCAACTGTAAGATTAACTCTGACTTGGAAAAAAACTTATCAAAGACTTGCCCTATTCCATCATCTTCATCTGCAGCCTAATGGCTAACATGTATGAGATCTCTACCTGTGTTTGAAGAACGCAAGCCTAATTTTGACCTGTGGCTTTCAGGAGTTGGTTTCCCTGTGCACAGTTATATGCACAAAAATCCACATTCCTGTAAGGACATCAAAATGGCCACCCTGCTAGATTTTTGCAGGGGCATGTCACGGCCAGTTAACTGGCACTGTTTAATGCTAAGACGTGATAAGACATGTGGCAAACATGTGAGTATGTGAGCAGGCCATGTGACCTCATTTTTTCCAATGGATCTTTCTTTGACTTCTTTCCATTCAGTCGCGTATGCTTCACTATAATGTGCTCTCAGCGTTAGATTTTGGCGAACTTAAACGCTTTGACGGTAACATTTATCGAAATCTGAGGGAATTGTCCTTGTTTATTAACATGACTTGGCTTTGGGATGATAACCGTGGGAACAGCTACATTTTGATTGCGTTTGTTGATTAGTTCGAGTCGCGACAGATAGCTCAGTCTTTACCTGGTCAAAATTTTATTGTTTGGAATTGGTGGAAAAGTACTCTGAAGGCAAGATCCATAAGACTACTTTATTCATCAGGGGAAATGCTCGAATTAGTCGCGTGGAGTTTGTTTACGATAAACGAGCACACAAAACGAGCACGCGATTGCAAAATGCTAGCTTAGAATAATACATATGCAATTTAAATATTCTATGAAACTTGTGAGTCTACAGAAACTGGCGGCGTCAGGCAACGTATCAGCAAATCGTGACCTCTTCACTAGCATGGACTTTGACACTATGCATATCTGACTGGTTGCTGCTGAAAAATGTTGATTTTAGCAATAGACAAAGGCTGAAAGTCAGCTAGTGAAATCATTTATTTAAGGTATATATATTAAAGTGAGGGCGTTGAATGCACTCTCATAATCTCTGATTACTACTAGTTTAGATTAATTTTTTAGAAGGAAACATTAATTTTTAATTAAAGGTAGTGTTGTAATTTCAGTTGACTGGTAAATGTAATCTCCATTTCTTGCAGACATTTCAGACTTCATTTGACTCCTCACCGTGAGATCTTTGCTGATAATTTTCATGCCTACTCGATTGGAGAGGATAATCAAAGGAGAGAAGTGACAGTAGATAAGGGAAACTTTTATAGAGGTTATGCTGAAGGTACCTATTAATTTTATGGTTAGACTATTCTTGGTTTAAAGGCCATTCATTCATGTAGTTCAATTGATTGTCAAGAGGTACATACCTATAAATGCCACTGTTGATGCTTCCCTCCTTATATTGCTGTCAGTGATAAAAGGAAATTGCACAGTTAGTCCTGCAAAATATGGTTTTGAAGGTCACTATGGTTTTACATTGTGTGAATTGTGATTACCCATCCATTTCATTCAGGGTCCGAAATTGTGCTTTCCTGGTCGCCAATGCGACTAAAAATTTTGCACTGGCGACCAGAATTTCACAACTGGTCGCCAGCAGGCGATTAACTATTTCATGCCACG